AGACAGAGCTCCGCAGTTTCCTAGGTGTAGCAAATTATTACCGGCGTTTCGAACTGGGCTTTGCTAAGATCGCCAGCCCGCCACATAAATTAACCGAGAAGCAGGCGAAGAATTTTAAATGGGAGAAAGGGCAAGATGAGGTACGAAGAACTTCAGCAGTATGACTTTACAGTCCAAAACCGAAAAGGAAAAGGGCATGGTAATGCGGATGCACTATCCCGCAGATCGGCTTTAGCAGAAACAGGTGACGTTATGGTGCACACCGTATTTTTGAGCCACCCTACCAGACATCATTGGAGAAATACGCAGAGTACTGACTCCGACACAGCTCTGACATGTGGAAAATTCTTGGCATCCTCGCTCCTCTTAACGGCTTCTCAATGCCTGCGAGCCATGGAAGGCAATTCGCGCAAGTCTAGCACTGACTAAGTCTTTCTAAAGACATCTATTCTTACCCTTACTGGTTTGTTCTTGTGAATTTTGATTAAAATAGCCCTCTTTTATTACCCTAAAACAACCTGTGTGGAGCGAGACTCATCGGTCTCCGCTTCCCTATTCCTAGCGTTCTTAGACAAGCCCGGTTTATTCACTTTGGACATATTTATTAAAGATGACAAGATGGAGAGGGCAAATACAATGTTCAAGAAGGAGGGGAGCTGCAGTCACTAGGTACGGGAGAGGACGATCCGATCACGAGATTCGAGTTTTCTGCTTGCCTTCTCCCTGGAAGGTACATTAAAACAACGTAAGTATTCCACATTTGTTTCATTTTATTTACTTTCCTTATTTATTTCCTTCCGTGCTTCTCTACGCTACCAAAGAGCTGCTTTAATTGCTACACTTTAGCGTCTCTCTGCTTAATACCAAATATTTGCGTTATGTCTTGAAGCGAAGGCCGATTTCGTCTAATAACCGGCTCTTCTTCACTACGATCACATTTCGGATCTTCATTAAACCAGTTTGTCACTTTCTGATGGACTATTGTTCCATAAGCATGCGTGTTTTCCAACAATTTCAACCGCTAATCTCGCGTTGTGTATCACAACGCACATTACTTAGCCAAAAACCACTTATAATTTGTTAATTTTATGCCTCCTATATCACTTTCCCTTCATTGCACCTTTGTTTCGCATCAAAATTTGTTTCCATATTTATTAATCAGTTGTTATTGCTTCCTACTTATTTCTACTTACATTCTTTTATGGACATCTCAGTGTTTATTTCCACGATTTGCGATGACACTCCTCTCTCTTAATCCCTCAGTCTTTGGTTTATCATTTCCTCTTTCACTCCTTCATTGTGCGTTCACTAACCAACCCTCAATTCTACAATTTCTACTTGTTCCACCCACTGATCGTTGAACACGATTTCTCACCCACTCATCCCTCTGCCACGTGGCTGTCCAGAGGATAAGCAGGATGTGGCTTCGCGATGGTGCACTTTGTTTTTTCTCCAACTTGGATTAGCCAGTCCACGCTTCTG